ACTCACTGCACGGAGGCGGATACAGGTCGCCACCTGGCTACGTTTACACGTCGGCCAGGGTCGAGCATGTACACACTGACCACTGCTTCTCCTCCAGGTGCTGAGTCTGGTAGGGTCCCTTCGTCTGGTCAGGTGTTTGCTGCAGCGTCCAGGTCTGGTCCTGAGTCTGCCCCCTGCTCGTGTCGTCGTCTGTCTCACGAGACCCTCCTCTGGCACCACCGCCTTGGCCACCCCTCTCTGCTTCGGCTCAGAGGCATGGCCTCGCGAGTCCTTGTGTCTGGTCTTCCCCGGTCTCTCCCTCCCCTTCCTCCGGGCCCTGGCCCTACCTGTGTCCCCTGTGTCGAGGGGCACCAGCGTGCTGCCCCTCACTCCTCCCAGTTTCCTCCGACAGAGGCCCCATTGCAGACGCTTCACATGGACGTGTGGGGCCCAGCCCGCGTCCGTGGACAGGGTCAGGAGCGCTACTTCCTGCTAGTGGTTGACGACTACTCGCGTTACACCACAGTCTTCCCCTTGCGCAGCAAGGGTGAGGTCACTGAGGTGTTGATCGACTGGATCCGCGCAGCTCGTCTCCAGCTTCGGAGGAGCTTTGGCTCTGACTTCCCTGTTTTGCGTCTGCACTCGGACAGAGGCGGAGAGTTCTCCTCTGGCCTCCTGAGTGCCTACTGTCGTGTGCGAGGCATCCGTCAGACCTTCACGCTTCCGGACTCACCACAGCAGAATGGGATTGCTGAGCGCCGCATTGGCATGGTCATGGACGTCGCTCGTACGTCCATGATGCATGCGGCTGCTCCCCATTTTCTGTGGCCGTTTGCGGTCAGGTACGCTGCGCACCAGATCAACCTCCACCCCAGGGTCTCTCGACCGGAGACCTCCCCACCCCTGCTGTGGACGGGGAAGGTTGGCGATGCGTCGGCGTTCCGGGTCTGGGGATCTCGGGCGTTTGTTCGCGACCTGTCTGCGGACAAGCTGTCCCCTCGTGCTTCTCCCTGCGTCTTCCTGGGGTTCCCCCCCGACGCCCCTGGGTGGCAGTTTTACCACCCCACCTCTCGACGTGTTCTGTCCTCCCAGGACGTCACGTTCGACGAGTCGGTACCCTACTACCGCCTCTTCCCCTACCGCACTCCGTCCCTCCCCCCGCCCCCGCTCTTCTTGGTACCAGGTCCCCCCCCGGTAGTCCCCCTCCCCCCTCAGGGTCCTGCCCCTTCAGGTGTGTCCCAGGTAGACGCGGTCGAGCCTGTCGAGGTCACTGGTGACTCTGGTGCTGCTGCGGGAGCTGAGCCTGGGGGTGCGGAGTCTGGGGGTGCTGAGCCTGGGGGTGCTGTGCCTGGGGGAGCTGAGCCTGGGGGTGCGGAGTCTGGGGGTGCTGAGCCTGGGGGTGCTGTGCCTGGGGGTGCTGAGCCTGGAGGTGCCGAGCCTGGGGGTGCTGTGCCTGGGGGTGCCGAGCCTGGGGGTGCTGTGCCTGGGGGTGCTGTGCCTAGGGGTGCTGAGCCTGAGGGTGCTGTGCCTGGGGGTGCTTCGTCTCGCCGGGAGCCACTCTCCCCACAGGAGCTGCGTGAGTGGTTTGCCAGGCGCTGGAGGCGTGCTGCTGGTGCTGGTGGTTCTTCGGCTGCAGAGGGTACTGCTGCCGCGCGTCCCGCCGGTGCTCGTACTGTGGGTGCTGGAGCCGCTGGGTCTGAGAGTTCTCCTGGAGCTGGTACTGCTGAGGGTGTTGGCGCTGAGCCTGCCGTTGGCGGTCCGACTGATAGTGCTCCTGGTGCTGCTGCTGGAGGTTCTGGAGCTTCTGGTGGTGCTGTTGGAGGTGCTGCTGGAGTGGGTGCTCCTGCCGGGGCTGCTGGTGCTGTTCCTGCTGTTTCTAGCGTCGCCGCGCGGCCCCGACCGTACTTCGTTCCGCTCCTGCAGCAGGTTCTTGGTCTTACACCTCCTCCTCCTGCCTTAGAGGGTCCGCAGCCTGTCCGGTCACAGCCACAGCTACAGCCTGCCTCCCCTTTGCCTGCTCCTTCTCCCTACGCTGGTCCGACTGGAGGTCTTACTGAGCGTCGTGAGCCTGCGTCTCGTCCCGTGTCGCCTGTTCGTACTGAGCGCACTAGTGGTCGCGGGTCGCGTCAGCGTCCTCCTCCTGTCCCTGGCACGCACCGGATGTCACTGCGTCCGTCCACTGCTCCTCTGCGTGCCCCTTTGACTTCTCCTCCTGCTTCCTCTCTTCCTGCTCTTGCCGACCCGGAGTCGGACTCTCTTCGTGCTGCCAGTCCTACTGTCACGCGTCTCCTTGCTACTGCTGTCACTGACCCTTCCTTCGAGTCGTCTGCTGCGTCTGCCCTTGTCACTGAGCTTGTCGACTTTGCTGCGCGCTGTCGTCTAGACTACGCTGCTCGTCTTGTCGCTGAGTCTGAGTCCGCCTGTCCTCCGTCCGTCGGGGGTGAGTGTGCCCTTGGCACGGACGTCCTTGAGGACAGGCAGGAGGAGTTCCAGTGTCTCGCCGCCGCTTCACCTCGTCTCGCTTCTGTACTGCTAGCCCCTGAGGGAGACCCGGATGCACCAGACATCCCGACTCCGCGCTCTTACGCGGAGGCGATAGAGGGTCCCTACTCCTCTCAGTGGCAGGCAGCTATGGATGCAGAGATGGCTTCCTGGAAGTCCACAGGCACCTACGTTGACGAGGTTCCCCCTCCTGGGGCGAACATCGTCAGTGGCATGTGGATTATCAGGGTGAAGCGGCCGCCGGGCTCTCCGCCTGTCTTCAAGGCGCGTTACGTGGCTCGTGGCTTCAGACAGCGGCAGGGGGTTGACTTCTTTCAGACCTTCTCCCCCACCCCGAAGATGACCACTCTTCGGGTTCTGCTGCACGTTGCTGCTCACCGTGACTACGAGCTGCACTCTCTCGACTTCAGCACAGCTTTCTTGCAGGGCAGCCTGCACGAGGAGATCTGGCTGCGTCGCCCACCTGGCTTCACTGGGTCTTTCCCTCCTGGTACCCAGTGGAGTCTCCGGCGTCCAGTCTACGGTCTCCGCCAGGCGCCACGTGAGTGGCACGACACACTGAGGACTACGCTCGCGGCACTTGGGTTTGCTCCTTCTACTGCCGACCCGTCGCTGTTTCTGCGCACCGACACCTCTCTGCCGCCGTTCTACATCCTCGTGTACGTCGACGACTTGGTCTTTGCCACAGCTGACACTGCTGGACTCGCCTACGTGAAGTCCGAGCTGCAGAAGAGACACACGTGCACTGACCTGGGTGAACTGCGCAGCTACCTTGGCTTGCAGATCACCCGGGACAGAGCACGCCGCACCATTACCCTGACTCAGTCACACATGGTGCAGCAGGTCCTTCAGCGCTTCGGCTTCACGTACTCCTCGCCTCAGGCCACTCCTCTGCCTACTCGCCACTCGCTCTCAGCTCTGCCTTCGGATGAGTCCGTAGAGTCGAGTGGCCCGTTTGCAGAGCTTGTTGGCTGCCTCATGTACCTGATGACCTGCACACGACCTGACCTCGCATACCCTCTTAGCATTCTCGCACGCTTTGTTGCTCCTGGGAGACACCGACCAGAGCACATGGCTGCAGCGAAGAGGGTGTTGCGCTACTTGTGCAGTACGTCGGGCATGGGGCTAGTGCTTGGAGGGCGCAGTCCAGTGGTCCTCACTGGGCACGCAGACGCTTCTTGGGCTGACGACCAGGCTACGCAGCGGTCGTCACAGGGTTACACCTTCAGCCTTGGTTCCGGCTCTGTCTCGTGGCGGGCTACCCGCTCGTCTTCTGTTCTCGGCTCCAGTTGTGAGGCTGAGATCTACGCTGGGGCTATGGCTGCACAGGAGTTACGCTGGCTCACCTACCTGCTGACCGACCTTGGAGAGCAGCCTCGTTCTCCTCCAGTCCTGTACGTAGACAACAAGGCCATGCTGGCCTTGTGTCGAGAGCAGCGACTGGAGCACAGAACGAAGCACATTGCTCTCCGCTACTTTCTTGCTCGTGAGCTACAGCAGCGTGGACAGTTGCGACTTGCGTACGTGGCCTCTGAGGCCAACACTGCTGATGTCTTCACCAAGGCACTTGCGCCTTGTGATCATCAGCGTTGCTGCACGCAGTTGGGTCTTGTGCCTGTCTTGCCTCACTTGCTCTCCTCTTGACCTTGCTTGTACCTTCGCATATATATACCCTTGCTCTTGCTTACTTGACTCTTGTATACCTCTATATATGATCTTGCATGTGAACTGGCCTTCTGGCCTTTGAACTTGTGCTCGGAATGCGTGGTGACTTTGTGATCCACCCTGAGCTTTGCTTTGCTTTGCTTGACTGGTCGTGTGACCCCTTGTTCTCCCCCACTTTGCCTATGGGGGTGTGTCAGAACATATAGCTTACTTATTTGTGTAGGCTATAGTGGGGTATCTCATAGGGGGTACTACCCAATTAGGGTTTCCTATTTGTACTCACTTCGTTCATACTCATTTCATTCTCGTTCAATTCTTCTCAGTCGGTAAGTGGCGACGCACAGCAAGACGGGCAGCAGCATCGCGTGTGGCCCACTGTGAGCGAACAGTGCTGTCAGCAGTAGTCGGCGGGGCAGGAGAGGCACTAGAGGTGAGATAGAAGAGAGAGAGTCCGTCTGCCCTATCGCACTGTAGGAACAGGTGGAGGTCATCGACCCAAACCTCAAAGTCAACAGCACGACCCTCAGCATCAAAAGTAAGGACACTGGGGGTAGCCATGACAGCAGTGGTCTAGTAGGGAGTGATCTCACCAGTCCGAGTAAGCAGGGCAGGGGCGCGCCGGTAGGAACAGTAGCGGCTCGACGGCAGGGCGGCTCGGCGGCTCGGCTGCTGAGCGGCTCGGCGGCTCAGTTGCCGGGCGGCTCAGCGGCTCGGCGGCTCGGTTGCTGGGCGGCTCGGCGGCTCGGTTGCTGGGCGGATCGGCGGCTCGACGGCTCGGCGGCTCGGCTTCTTGGCGCCTCGGCAGCTCGACTGCTGGGTGGCTCGGCTGCTGGGCGGCTTGGCGGCTCGGCGGCTTAGCTGCTAGGCGGCTCAGCGGTGAAGGGGCCGGTAGAGGCGGGGACGGGGCCGGTAGAGGCGGCGATGGGGCCGCGAAGGGCGGCGACGGGGCCGGTAGAGGCGACGACGGGGCCGCGAAGGGCGGCGACGGGGCCGGTAGAGGCGGCGACGGGGCCGCGAAGAGCGGCGACGGGGCCGCAAGGGGCGGCGACGGGGCCGCGAAGGGCGGCGACGTGGCCGCGAGGGGCGGCGACGGGGCCGATAGGGGCGGCGACGGGGCCGTTAGGGGCTGCGACGGGGCCGTGAAGGGGCCGCGAGGGGCCTAGAGAGGTGGCGACGGGGCCGATAGGGGCAGCGACGGGGCCGCGAAGGGGCCGCGAGGGGCCTAGAGGGGCGGCGACGGGGCCTAGAGGGGCTGCGACGGGGCCGCGAAGGGGCTGCGAGGGGCCTAGAGGGGCGGCGACAGGGCCTAGAGGGGCGGCGACGGGGCCGCGAAGGGGCCGTGAGGGGCCTAGAGGGGCGGCAACGGGGCCGCAAAGGACGGCGACGGGGCCGTAAGGGGTGGCGACGGGGCCGCTAAGGGTGGCGCGAGGGGCCTTTAGGAGGGCGCGACGTGAGGGCGGCCTACGGAGCGCGCCTCGGGCAGGAAGAAAAGATCGAGTTCAGTGGTGGGCCCTGAGAAGCGTTCCCACGAGGGAACCTGCTCTATACCATGTGAAGAATGAGGAATGAATGAACCAGGAAAGGGATGGGTACAAGTAGGAAAACCTAGAAATGTTGTACCCCATATAGTCTACCCCACTACAGCCCACACAGACTATAGCATATAAGTTTGACAGCATCCTCGTTATTCTTTATTCTGCGCACTCTGCAAATCATTCAGAACAACGCGGTTTGCCGGAATCTCAGACGGGAGGGTAGATACGGTGGATGCGGGATCAAAACAAGTAGTACGCAACCAAGGAAGGAACTACATACACATAACATTATGGATACACAACACAGCTGTGCACAATACAAAGTATATAACCATCACATCAGGGGACCTATGGTATGCCTGGTATGCCAACAGAAACCAGTATCGGCACAAGATACAACGCCATACATTTTTATTGGGGACCGTACTCCTTGCTCTTAGGCGTTTATTTACACCATCTGTTGGCGCCTATTTACACAACCTTCTTGGCGCATCACATCAGGCGCATGGCATGACGAAGAATGTCGTGGCAGGTAATAATTCCTACGACTGTCATGCCAGGCTTATTGTCTTCACGCGGAGCGACGACAGGAAGGCGCGCAATCTGCACAATTGCAATAAAGATACGTCAGGAGGCGTTGAGGAAAAGATGTGCCTTGGTCCCCAGGTAAAAACCAGCAACCTACATTGTTATTAAGCATCAATTCAGCAGCATCTGATATCAGGGCTTCCTCTTCAATGTAAAGGGTGTCTGATGTCATGGCATCTCCAACCTGCACCACGTTCAATACAGTGGCCACTTGTGAGCACACAACAGGAACCTAGAAGTGGTAAGCAGAAAAGGCTTAAGGGGCACAATCATTCACTCACAGTTTTAGCTGCTATCTTTCTCATTTGGCCACACAGAACAGGAGACATGGGACCTTCATAAATTCGGTGCATGTGGTCGTCCTCCTGAAACACCAGAAACACCAGCGGCTAGCACTAGCACTTGTGAAAACAATAAACCAACAACCTTTACGATACGACACAACAGCAATTTACACTCACCCCTGGATATGGTACGGTTTCTTTCCATAATATATCCCGTTGTGAGAGGACTCCAACCAGCTGCCCCGCTCCATATGAGTCCCCTTCGTATGCCTCCACAACAGGGACTCCGCTTATTCGCAGATTCACCAGAATCTGCAAAAGAAGAACCACCGTAAGAATGTGAATTGCTGCTGCACAACAAATTTGTAATAACAAGGGAGTAGACACGTGGCTTGCCTTGGCAGCTGTCCTCAGCGGAACATCTCGATGGAGGCAAGCCACGTCGTGGCACATGAAGTCTCTAACAAGCATATCTTCCCACTGGCGATCGTCCTCGTGCCTGAAACAGGAAAAGGTAAAAAGCTTCATAATTTTGGTAATGGGCGGCGAACAGCAGGAAAGGTTGAAAGATGAAGGCCAACAAACAGCCTGTCTGAGACAGGAGGCGTCGCAAACCAAGGATGAGTCCATTCCAGGTTCCCACCTTGTCTCAAAGTCCAGCTCAAGGTTTTGTTGCCACATAGTCGAGTTTTGAAGGTAAATGCTGGTGCTCTCGTGCCATGCCTCGTCGATCTTGTTAGCACTTTGATCCCTTTTTGTCACTGCTGTTGCTGACAAGGCCGTGTGGTTATCTGCTGTGGCTCTCGGCGTAATCGCAGCTTTTCTGGGGGAGGTCTGGGAACAAAATACATCAAAAGACCGTCAGGTCTGTGACCCTCACATGCCAGAGGAGAGAGAATGAAGGGGCACTTGGAGACTGATTTAACCACCATCACTTACCCCAGGAGAGCTTAAGCTGTGGATTCGAAACGAGTCGGCGCAACAGTGAGACGAAGACAGCGAGGATTGCTTGTGCCTTGTGGGTGATAGCTGAGAAGATGGCACACACTCGCTCAAGCCCAGACTGGTGCGATATCCAACAGCAACCTCCATCGGCATACCAAGCAGAGAAACTTTAGCCTACTTCAACCGTACGTTACGGCGCGAAATCGAGGAACGGATATGAATTGTAGATATAGGAAGGAAACACAACGTAGACTTTGCTGACGGCCAGGGCTTCAGGCTAAATCCAAACTGGTTTGGCCAGTACTCTACCACCAACACTCAGCACAAGGAGGAAACCCCGAAACGAAGGAGCCTCGATTCTATCGTCTTCGTCAACGAGCAAGAAAAAACTGTCAGACGACACGCTCTAGGGAGGCGCTCGATGGTGGGGCAGTTGAGCTGGTTGCTGAACTGCTGGCAGGGGGGTCATGATTGCATGACGCTTGGCCTAGACATCCATGGAGAGGAGGAGAGAGGAATTTGGCTCCAACGAATATTTCTTTTCTACAGTATTAGATCACACAAACCTTGGCCGCATTTCCAGGTCCCCACGATGCACGACCTTCGCGAAATTATACCATACGCTTCTGGATGGAATCAAAATTATAATGGTTCAGTTTGATAGCAGAGACAAATATATGGGTACCACAAGTGAGTCATAAACAACTGATGTAATTACCGATATTTTCCGTAAATATTTAGAGGTACAGTATGTTTGAAGTTTTATTTTTCAATCAGCCTTTGTTCTTTGATGTATTTGACATATACATCGATACAATAAACATACATAAACAATAACGGCTATAACTGTAAATCACGTGGCCGCCCCATGTGTGGCATCTCAGGAGGCTGGTAAGTCATCCTCGGTGCAAGCCAGACACTTGTGAAGCGTTCATCCATGTCCACGACTTGCAGCGGTTGTCCCTGATCCAAAACAGTTGCGTGTCCTTCCTCTCCATCGTGCGGCGGAATTTTTCCTCCTGTCGTGTACCCTGACGCTTCCTCTATTATGCTTTTAATCAACCTTTGAGCTAATGAGTCTAAAGAATGATAATATTTCATACATATCACTTGTAAGCAGCGATATATCTGATTTGAAATTGAAAACATAAATAAAATTGTGGATAATTTGTAAAATAATTAATATTTCTTTACATCTTAACGTGTGGCTCTCATGTTCTCCCAGATTTTGAGTAGTCTTTGTAAAATGTCCTAGGCCTTGTCTTGATTGGGGTAAATAAAAATGGAGTAGCTAGAGCAGCTCCTAGATTCGTTTTTTTCAAATTTGCAGAATTTAATCCAACTTTTGAAAAAAGCTAAACGATATCTTAAATTGGCTCATGAACTTTCATGAAAATGTGGTGCAGGCAGCTCATCAAGATCTGTCACTGTTGTGGTGGTGGGCCTTGGGCAAGCCTTCAGCTCGATTGGCTTGGTTTCGCCGCCAAGCCAATCGACTTTGATTTGAAGTACAGTACTATATTTGATGACATCTAACCGCGAATTCCGAGTTATCCAGAGCAACGCCCAGAAATCCGCTGTCAACAGCCTGTTCCACGTCATGCCACGCACGTCTGACTGATGACGCGGGAGAAGTGACCCAATAAAGGATAGCTAGACAAGAAACACAAACTGACAATCCCGACTTGGCGCCATATGATTGGATTTGCAAATGGCAGTCGTCATCTTCACCTGATTATCCACGTCATTGTGACGAACTGTGCACCTGATTACGAACTGTACTACCCCTGCATCAATTGGAAGTCGCGGGAATATTCTACAGTCGCACAACTTTGCATATGATGTTGTAAGGAAACAAATTTTCCTTACTCCACGTCAATAGTACCTAGCATTTAACCGTTACCACCTCGCGACACTCGCCTCGACTACTGTTCCCGCCACAGTTCACATCGCTCCGGTCCTCCGCCTCGACAATTCCAGTTCACATCGCTCCGGTCCTCCGCCTTGACAATTCCCAACCTGGGCGCCAGGCCCGTCGCAAACCCCTGTATTCGTTCGTTACCGTTTCTATGTTAGTTCGATATTTAACATTCGCTCAGTCCTTCGCTCAATAGAGTGTGTTGCTTCGATCGTGCAATCTTCGCTCTCTCACTCAATAGCACTCGTAACAGATGTCGTTAAGTATGCATAATTGGATGCTCCAAGGATCGACCATCTAATGACGTCGACCATTGATATGCCGATATCTAGTCCTAACTTGTGATTTTAGAACGTTGTCAGTATTTTGACACATAAGATGTGGACCATCCGTGTTTGATTGGTTCGGATTGTTGACGGGAGTTGGCCCCGCCCTCGCTTGGGCAAAACTGATTGTGTGGTCGGGTGTGTGAGAGATGCAGCCAACTCTCTGCAGTATGTGAGATCTGGAGCTTCTGCGTTGGTTGGGACAAGGACCTTGTGCACAAGGTGAAGGGTTGCCTGTACACGAGGTGTACGAGGGAACCTATGCAAGAGTAACTAAGGCACCCACGAGTGCAACGCAAACGTCACGTACACATGTGCAAGTGGCGCAGCTGGTGCAGAGGTTAAGGGGGTTTCATCTACGCAGGGTCGCATCTGATCCTGCCCACCTTCGCAATTGCACGTAAGAATTTTGGCTAGAAATTCGATGTGCTTTAATTTCGACCAGTGTAGGAGCCAGAATTTTAGTATGTCGACCGAGGTGGTCAACGAAGGTGGTCGACGAAGGTGGTCGACGAAGGTCGTCGTCCCGCGACGACAAAGGTCGTTGACCGCGACGACGAGGGTCGTCGACCTGTGATGACGAAGGTCATCGACCTGCAGGTTCCTGGTCAACCGAGTTATCTGTGTTGACGGGAGAGGAGTGTTGGCCCCACCCTCGCTTGGGCAACGCCGACAACTTGGTCGGATGTACGGGAGAAGCAGCCGACCGTTCACAGTGGGAGAGCTGCGCGACGGGCTTCGTCGAGCTACATGGGACCGCTGTGATGTTGCTGTCGACCAGGGAGCTCGGCAGCTGTAGATGACTGGGCTGGGCGATGGGTGGGCCGTCGACCAGGAGGAGCAGTTCGACTAGGAGGTCAACGGAGCGACTTGACATGTGAGCAGCGGTCGACGAGGAAAGCTAGGCGTCAAGAGCTGACAGTTCTGGTCGACGGAGCTGTGATTGACCAGGGCCACTTGGTGGTGGATCAGGAGCACCTGGCGGTCGACCAGGTCAACCAGGTAGCCTGCTCGGCAAGTTCTGTAGAGGCACGCGAACGTCGTCGAGGTCGCGGTGACGAAGACGACATCGGGCTGGTGTCCCGAATTCGTTATGGCTCGCCATGCACAGAAAACAGCCGACGGATGCACAACAGTGCAAGTCGGGCCAATCGTCTGTGCGCACCTGCGAGCGTGCGCATTGCTGTCTTCTACGGGGCAAAGCTGGACAGCTGCTCTGCCGCAGCGATGGCACGCCGTTGACCTGCTGTGTTAGCAGGTCGCCTTTCTACACTGCTGGCGCCGCTCCTCTACGCAACGCAGGCGGGAGGTCAACCAAGCTGTGCTGTCTGTCGACCAGGCTAGCTGCAGAATTGCTAGGTGTCTGATGTAGCTGTTTTCTGTCATTCCTAGTTCAATCATTCTGGAATTCCAGCTTTGCCTAGTTAAACTCTTGCCGATTTTTTCAGTGAACGTGCAAGCACTAACGGAATAAAGCAAAGCTTGTCAAAATCCACAAGAGTGAATGAACTAGGAAAGAGTTGGGTACAAGTAGTAAAACCTAAACTTACTGTACCCTATAGGAATCACCCCACTACAGCCTAAACCAACTGTAGCAGATATATAACATTTGCCACACCCCCATAGGCAAAGTGGGGGAGAACAAGGGGTCACAAAACCAGTCAAGAAAGACAAAGCAAGTTCAGCGTGGATCACAACGTCACCACACTCACTGAGCACAAGCAAAGGGCCACAAGGCCAGTTCACATGCAGAGGCATATATGCAACACAAACATCACAATGATCTCTACCTAGCAAAGCAAGCATGCAGGTATGTATATATATAGATCACAGTACAAGCAAAGCCTACAGCAGGTGAGGAAAGGTGGGCACAAGCCCTAGCATAGTGCAGAAATGCTGATGATTACCAGACTAAAGTGCCTTGGTGAATATATCAGCAGCGTTGGCCCGAGTGGCCACGTAATCAAGACGAAGCTGACCACGCTACTGCAACTCTCGAGCCAGGAAGTAACGCAGAGCGATGTGCTTCGTTCTGTGCTCCACTCTGTGCTCCTGACACAAGGCAATGGCAGCCTTGATGTCAACGTACAGCACTGGAGGAGAACGAGGCCGCTCTCCCAAGTCGGTCAGCAGATAGGTGAGCCCGCGTAACTCCTGTGCAGCCATGGCTGTGGCGTAGATCTCGGCCTCACAACTGGAGCTGATAACTGAAGACGAGCATGTAGAACGCCAAGAAAATGAACCAGAGCCAAGGCTAAAGGTGTAACCCTGTGACGACTGCTGAGTAGCCTGGTCGTCAACCCAAGAAGCGTCTGAGTGCCCAATGAGAACAACTGAGCTCCTCCCTCCAAGCAAGAGCCCCATGCCTGATGTACTGCACAAGTAGCGCAGTACCCTCTTAGCAGCATCCATGTGCACCTTTCGGTGCCGACCAGGAGCCACGTAGCGAGCCAGAAGGCCAAGAGGGTACGCGAGGTCAGGACGAGTGCAAG